TTTTTTTTTTTTTTTTTGCGTACTTGCGATCATATTTCGAATCTGAAACTTTCAAGCTGAAACTTTTAATTATTTGTACTCAACTTTACAAAATATTAAAATAGAAACTTCTATACTTTTGATATAAGAAATACTTCTGTTTTACTACATACTACAATGCATACTATTCTATAAACTGATTTATTTTTTTTATGCAACTTTATTTTTCCAGAGATTTTATAAAGCGATAGGACGATAGTCCAACTATTTTTATAAATTTGCAGGTTTGTGCAACAAATAAATATCAGATAATACCGTCAAGTAAATATGCAGTATATATAATTAATCAATAATTATGTTTAAATAACATTATAAACAAGACAACGATAATTATACAACAGCAAAACAGTAAAATTATTTGAATACAGTAACTGAATGTTCACGTGCAACATTCAGTTCCTTACCAATAGAGTCAGATAATCAAAATGTTAATGCAATATTACTGTTCTACATGTATTAAAAGTAATAATAGAAATTGCATCACATTTAGAATAATATAGCTGGAAATAATAATTTTCTTGTTGAAAAAGTGTATTTCATTGCATTGTTCGCATTTGAAAGAAATATCAAACGTACTTGTTGTTACGTATATCTTTGAACGGTCGATACTTCATGAAGACTTGCTTGAATAAAACTCATTACAAAAAAAATTTCTTCAGCCAGTATTACGAGATGATGAAAATAAGAATGAAATCTAATTTTCATCATTACAACCACCAATGGTGAATAACTTGCTATAATTGTTAAGAATCCGATACAAAAAGAGAAACATAGAATAATTTTCTATAGAATGACGTACAAGGATATTCGAATATGCCGCAGTAACAGCGAATGGAAGTTCATTTCCCGCCGTTGGGAAGAATGGAAAATCAATAATAGTTACCGGCTTTACCGACTTTGCAATGACGAAGACCCTAAACGATGCCTCTTCTCTTTCGTACTTAAGCGTCTTTCTCTTTCACACTTATAGAAAGTTCACGATCGCGGTTTTCCATGTTTGTTGAACTACAGCGCCGCATGTCCGCCATTGGTCAACCGTGGCTGCTGTCGCCACCACCGCCGCCGCCATTATAGATTCCGTTGTGTGTGACTGAGTCTCGTTCCACGGAGCTTTCCAGGGAAAATTCTGTTTCTACTTGACGTTCAGGGTGAAATTAATAGGGAACGAACACGCAGAAGATTTCGGGAAACGTCAAAATGAAAACATACAGTAGGAAAAAGGGTGACAGCCCGAGCAACGTAATCATTCATGTAAACGAGTTGTGCCGACTGTGCTTGGCAAAGGAGGAGGAGATGGTGCCGATTTACGACGATGAAACAATCCCTTTATCTCTACGAATAATGGCTTGCGTTAATCTGGAGGTGAGTTAGAGAACTCGAGTGGGCGAACGCGCGATATACGTAAACCAGAGGAATGTCAGTTACTTTTCTTTTGTACGTCTGTCGAAAGCTTATCGAAAAATAGGAATCTAGTTTATCTCTCTGCGTGAGATTCTCTCCGTCCTTGTCTCTCCCACTTTTGCCCCACTCTTCGATTTTGCTTCACGTTCGAGAGCGTCACTCACACATTCGACCCAAATACACAAAGAAACGTTTCACTTCTCGTGGAACGCGCGACACACTGCGCAAAGCAACTACCGGCTTTACCGAGTTATCGACTTTACGTTCGCGATACGTTGACGCCACCTTCTCTTTCATTACAGGAATCTAGACAAGGCGTATCATTGCATTACAGATCGTTTACCCTACGAATTTATAGAAATCTGCAATATTATAACCAATGTCATTAGCGTTGTCATTTTATACCTGTCCAACGAAGGCACTTCCGTCTGTTCCTCTCTAGTCTTTTATAATCTAGTCGTGTAATCGCGATGCATTTCAAAAAATTTAAATATCTGATATATTTCTACTTGCTGTATTTTCATTACTTTTTAAATAATTCTTTTCGATCGATTATAAAAAGATACTCACATATCTGTTACTTCGTTTTGATCTGCCGAACATTTGATGCTTCTTTATTGTTCAGTTGAAGGATAAATATTGTATGAAATGAACACAAAATCCAACTTGAATGATAAGAAAATATTTATAAATGTATTTTTTTATTGTTGAAAAATATTATAAAAAGGCAATGAGTGATAAAAATTTGAATTGAACTTTGTCTGATAATTTTATGTATGTGAACTTGAATAATGATTAATGTTTCTTATAATACAGGTATATGAGGAAGACGGCCTTCCAAATATGATTTGCCATCCGTGCAAATATCAGTTGGAAAAATCCTACCAATTTAAGAAAAAATGCGAAGCTGCTGATGCTAAACTTCGTAAGCATATGAAATTAATACAACAATTGACCGGTCAAAGTGAAGAAGGAGAAAATCAAGACAGTAACAGAGAGGAATTAAAAGATTCTTCTAGTGGAAAATCGAAACAAGTTAAACAGCTATTAGCTGATTTGGTATCCACTAAAGGTGATAGTGGACAAGCAGATGGAGATCCAATTGAAGTAACAGAAGAGGAACTTGTTGGTGGTTATATTTTAGGTGAATATATTCCAGTAAAGATATTTTTTATGATACTAAAAACATTTGCTCTTAGAATTGAATCCTTGTAGAGTTAACAGAGTATTTTATTTTATCAAATACAGGAATGAATTCGGAAAATTTAGAAATGGAAGAAACAATGTCAGAAGATCCAGAAAATATCACATTAGTACCTGCAGAGGAACGTGCTGCTAAAGCACGTTGCACAATACGTACAACACGTATTAAACAGGAACAAGAATCTGAAGATGAGGCAGAAGAAGTACAAAGAGCAATTGCAAATGCCGACCACAAAAATGTTTATATGATGGAGGTTACAAGTAATAGTTCAGGACAAGGAGAATCTTTAAAATTACAACCACTTGGCGATACTATGGGTAAATAGTACAAAAATCTTTGAACATATAGTAGTGTTTACATAAATTTATAAACTATTGTGTTTCTTATAGTTGAAACCAGTGAAGAGTTAAAAGTGTTTCAATGTGATAAATGTCCAAAAGCATTTACCCGAAGAATAATGTTGAAAAGCCATCAATCTGTTCACTCTACACAGAGAGGTTTTACATGCCAGGCTTGCGAAAAATGGTTCCCTACTAGGTCAGCTTTAGTGAGACACGAACGTACTCATACAGGTAATAATGAAAAAGAAATAAAATGAGATATTTTTAAAAAATTAAATAAAAGTATTCAATTTTTAATTTTAAAAATTATGTTTATAGGTGAAAAACCCTTTGGTTGTAATATTTGTCATCGCGCTTTTGCACAGAAAGAAATTTTACTTCGTCATCTTATGACTCACTCTGGTCAAAAACCATTCCAATGTCAACATTGTGATAAGAGCTTTACTCAACGAGAAGCATTGAAAGTACACATGAGGAGGCATCAAAAATTGGATCCGAATGATATTCAGTTACATCATTGTCAACTTTGTCCTAAAGCTTTTTGTCATGCATCTGGACTTAGTAGACATTTAGTTACACATACAGGCAGGACATATAAGTGCGTAGAATGTGAAAAGTCTTTCACTGATAAAAGCTCGCTATTGAGGCACAGTCGTATTCATGCACCTAAAAAAATAGTGACAAATTGAATTTATTTTAATAATTGAGTATCATTTTCTTTACAATATCAGTCAACATTAAATTAAAATTATACAGAACATTCTGCAGAATTTTTTAAATCATATATAACAATAGTTTTGTATCTTAGTATAATTTATAAAATATGTCATAACTAATGACAACTATGCACTAATCCGTACAATTCTTAACGTGTATCTATTTATGTTAAATGTATTTGGTTTAGTCTATGCAATATTTCGTTAACAATATTATTTTCACATTATTTTTAGATAATGCATAAAATTGCATTAAAAAATTTGTAACATATTTTTGTTTTATTAAATGTGCAATGAGATTTATTTATACATATTTAATTTGGTATACATCACTACATACGTCATTTCAGTAAGTTAGATTTTATTCGAATTATAGATCAGTAACAGTATTCTAATAAAACATTTTTTTATATATACATATTTTCATGACATTTGTATTGTGTACAATTCTATGTACTTCTATTATATATAACTTTAATTGTAAGAATATAATTAAATATCTTATATGTCTTTTTACATTCTTTTGATCATTCCCAATTAAATTTGTAAGGTAATAAAAATTGTACATAATATACATTACAATAATAAAAGTACAAAATTAATAATTATATATATTAGTAAATTAATGTTAAAGTCTTAAAATAAATACTTTAAATAAATGTAAAAGATAAAATTTTCGTTTTGTATTTTTTGCATTATCAAAAAAACAAATATTTATGAAAGTGCAAAAGTTTATTTTTTATATAACTATATCACTATTCTCTGTGTACCTGTTAAATTATAATAGACTATTATTATGAGGAACTGCAAAAGGAATTGTTAACTTATAAACTGTTTATAATAACAAATGAATGACAGTTTAGTGTTTTATTAAAAAATCTTTTTTATTATGATTTGCATATGATGATCTTGTGTTTCTTTACATTGCCAATATCATTATATGATAGATCATTACATCAATCTAATGGAAAGAATTTACTAAATTTCATTTACATTTTTGTTCATGTTTAAAATACGATAATGTCACAGATCTTCACACTACAACTTGGAAAAATCGAGCTCCGCTACACGATTTGCTCTAGACCTCCATAAAATAAGGTCTAACGTTCGATTTTGCATTACATATTTTGCTATACAATTGCAAAATCGGGAATACCTATTACAATTATCTATTCAAACAAAGCAAAGTGAGAAAATATGTATATATGAGAGTTAGTAGTATCGCGGTTACTTAAATACAAGCGTAATTAAAGAATTTTGTTGTACGTTCTAATTAACAAAAAGATTTAAATAAATGCGATATTATTAACCCCTCGTCAAGATTATACTGCACTGTCATGAAAGATTTAAACAATATGAAAAAGAAAATTTGTTTATAATTGGTCGCTTAATTTTCCCACTTTGCTAAAAATTAATGTACACAATCGTTACCAGTTTATATTTGCACTCGAACGATAAATAATTCTAATGAAAAAACGTACATGAAAGCATCAATATTATTAACTAAATTTTCTAGGATAGGGAAATACAAATTATTAAAATGTTACATTAAAATTTTAAAAGAAAATTGGTCAAACTTTCATGTACGTTTATATACCGTACTAAAACACTGCTAAAAATTTGAGACAATATTTTCATCTCAAATGTTTGTTTAGAGGCACGGCCCGATGTCGCCAATTTATACATTTTTCAAATACAGAATGTTTCTTGCACATTCTTAGTATTATTGTTCTTTTGTCATTTTTACTTCCAACACACACCACTTATAAGCCATGATAGAGTTATATATCACTGGTAAATAAACTATCTTACGTGATTGTTGCAAATACACAGTGTAGGTAACAGACTCATAACAGGCTTAGTTCACCTTTTCCTTTGCCCATTGTTTCATTATACTTAACGATTGATAAACTTCAATTCAGTTTGCAAATAGTAAAAAAAAAGACTGTTCTTGCTTGCATGCTGAATCAACAAAATTTGTACTATATTACATAATACCAAGTATCTCATGATGTGGAAAAATCTAATGTTATTCTTCCTGCTAGTACTAAATTGGCAAAAGGAATTGATGGACTTGACGAAGTAGCGCGGAGGTCGGAAAATCTCGGAAAACACATTTACGAGATATATGATTATTGAGAACGACTTGATAGACGTTTTGCAATTAAAAAAAAAAAAAAAACGTCAAACTGATTTAAAACCTACGCTCTCATCAATCAAGAATTAGAGTTTTTGGTTGTTCCCAAGTGAATCCTTCTCGACCAAAATGTCCATAAGTACTAGTTTGTTGATAAATGGGGTTACGAAGATTCAATTCCCTGAAAGAACATTATGTATGTAACTTCTTCTACGTTTAAATTAGTGTTTAATATATTTATATTATTATTCTCAGTAATATTTTTTTACATCATGGCACTCAAGAGTAGCAAATACAATGTGACATCATCGAATAATTATATTAATGTAAATATAAATCATTTTAATGTACAAAGTATAAATGTACTTACTTAACGATTTTGCCAGGTCGTAAGTCGAAATTTTTATTGACTATATCTAGAAGTTCGTTTTGAGATAATTTAGAAGTACCATAGTCAAAAACTGTAATTGAGAGAGGTTCTGCTACTCCAATAGCGTAAGAAACCTAAAAATTCATTGTGAATATCTATGCCTTCATCAAAGAGCAAAATTTATTAGAAAATAGTACGTGTTTTTTCTCATTAATAACAATTAATCAATATAACTTATACCTGTACAAGGCATCGTCTGCAAAGACCTGCTTTTACCAAAGATTTAGCAACCCATCTTGCTGCATAAGCAGCAGATCTATCAACTTTTGTGAAGTCTTTACCAGAAAATGCACCACCACCATGAGCTCCCCAGCCACCGTATGTGTCAACTATAATTTTGCGACCAGTAAGACCAGCATCACTCTATCAATAAAAAAGGAAGTACTATTAAACACATTTAACAAAAAATTGATTTAAATTTAATATAAAAAAATATACACTTTACCTGTGGACCACCAATGATAAACAATCCACAAGGATTAACATGGAAGATTGTTCTGTCATCCAGATACCTTGCTGGAATTACTTCTTTGATAACCTTTTCCATGACTGCTTTACGCAATTCTTCCAAACCAATTTTTTCACTATGTTGCAATGACACAACCACTGTATGAACTCTTATAGGTACACAGGCACCATGATCCATTACATATTCGCAAGTGACCTGTTTTACAATGTTAACAGAGAAAAGTAATGTTAGAAAAAAAAAATCGTATTTGAGAATATGCATCATATCACTTATATTATTATTCTTAGAAACGTTTTTTTTTGTATTATGGCACTCAAGAATAACAAATACTGTGATATCATTGAATAATTATCATACTATAAATATCATACTTGTGTTTTTGAGTCTGGTCTTGCCCACCATAATTCACCACTTCGTCTTAATTCTGCGATTTTTTGGTTTAACTTGTGTGCTAACACAACGGTTAATGGCATACATTCATCAGTTTCATCTGTTGCATATCCAAACATCAAACCCTAATAGAAGAATTGAAGTTATTTCAGCTAAATTTTATAAGTTGAAATTTTACAAAATTAAAGCAGGAAAAAGATTCCTAATTAATTTACAATATTATATAATTATGTAATACAGGAAATAAAGCATTAATAAAATAATAGAGCACATACAGTTAATTTATTGCAGTAACTGTAATGTTTTGGGAAAATTTTTAAGTAATGTGTGAGATGTCATACAGAGCAGAATTATTAAGTGATAATACTGGAGCAACTTACTAATTTCTAAATTAATTGCTTTTGTTTATTTTTTTGTTTTGTTTATAGCACACACTTTAACCCTCTAGCTACTATGCACCACCAAAGTGGCTTCCCTTTAAGTCATTTTTTAGAACAAAGCGCCATTAAAGTGGCTCACTTGTTTTAGTGGTTCAAAAACTGTATACAATGCAGAGATAATGTGGAAATATCTTCCTTTCTTAAGATGCGCATTTATTTTCTCGCAAAATGCTTTTGTGTTAAGCGATATCTCTAAGAGTGCGCATCTGTGTCTTTTTATAACATATTATGTATCTCGTCTTCATACACTATTATAAGATATGAATTATTATTTTTAAGTTGAAATGAATATGTGCTTACTATTGCCTTTTGTTTTTCTATTAATTTTGTGGATTTTTTGAACTTAAAAAACAACAGGAAATCGTTACTAATTTATATGCACTCTGCGACAAAGAAGTCCATACAGATGATACTACAGCCAACCTTGCCGTAGCTAAAGGGTTAATAACACAAACTTATAGAAATAATACCTTTAAACTTGATTAAAATAATTAGAAACAAATGTAAGATTTGAATCATTAGTCATATATTTCATGACACTTATCAGAGAAGAAAAATGTTGAAATGTGCAGAAAAAAATTGGGATACAATTGCACATAATGTCAATGTTAATGAATCTTTATGAATCTTAATAGAAAACAGATGACTAATAACATTTTAAAATTAAAATGAGAGAAGATACAAAGAATATAAAAGCCGGCAGAAGATGCAAAAGATAATAGAATATGAGAGCAAATTCTAATGATATACCTTCACCATAACGATATATAACATTTAAAAGAAACTAATGTAATAAGTCTACATACAGCATAGAATGAAACAGAAAAGAAGAATAAGCTACTGAATACTGTTATCAGAACTAAATATGTACCTACAATAACAATGATGCAAAATGAAAGTGAGAAAAATAATTATGTACAGGAAACTAAAAAGGAGTAACTAAATTAGCATTAGATAAGACATAGAGAAGAACAGAAAATTCGAACGAACTGATCAGAATGCTAATTGACCTGATCTCCTGCGCCGACTTCTTCATCACTACGGTTTTCATGAACTCCTGCTGCAATATTTGGTGATTGGGCATCAAGCGCCAACAGAACACTGCAGAGCTTGAAGTCAAAACCTGTAGAAATTATATGAATGAAATATAAATGTTTGCTACCAAGAATATCAACACTCTCATTACACTGATGCTTTACTGTTTTTGTATCCCAGTTTACTCTGGCTATTACAAGATAATAATAGTAAACCTCCTTGCTTTAAAAAAAGTTAAAAATAAATTGATTCTGACCTAATTATATATAATACCATATAAAATCTCTTTTTTTTTATCTAAAATTATATATTTATTTTCATAAAATATTTATCTAATATTTTATTCTACATTATGTAACATCAAAATATATGAAACAGTGTTTGTTACATGGAATAGAGTGTTGTTACATATCTGGTAATGATAATTATTATTTTGATTCTTATTTAGTGATGAATTTCTTTAACCTAGAATGCCTCGATATACAAGTAGAATTTATTTATACATAAATCTTCCTGATAAGATGAATTCTTATACTGTAAAATATGTATCCCAACAACCGTAATTCTTATTTGCATACACAGATTCACACATTCACACAAAACACAAGGAAAGTGTATGTTATAAGAATTCTATCAAATGTATCATAAGAAAAAAGGGAGAGGGTAAAGCAAAAAAAAAAAAAGAAAATGTTATTGAATTATATGGCTGCTCTGCGGCACGGGCTGAGAATGGGTTATGTACCTGATCACCTGCACCCACGTCCTTCTCTTCCCTGTCCACATGAACACCATCAGCGATATTTGGAGATTGTTGTTCGATCGCCACCAAAAGGTTCAACGTACGCCAATCGAATCCTGCCACGATCATGATATGCTTACGTTACATATTCATACGTGTTCCTTTACGTATTTTTTTTTTCCGAAAGATAATGAGCAGGATATTGGTCATCCAATCGATCGAGTCATGGAATGTTTTCTAATATTTTATTAACGTGTATGTAGCGTAAAGCACATCTTTCTATTATAAAAATATACATTTTCAAAATGATAAAAGTATTTGTAATTTCGTAATAAGTAAAACACAGCAATAAAATTTATATTTAATGCCGGAATATTTCGTGCCATGATTCGACCGTGTATTCATAATATCTGATTCTGGAGAACCAAATGAGGCGAATTTTATGAGGAATAAGATAATAAAAACATCATTCCGGCCACAGGGCATGTGTATAGAAGATGGAAATCATTTATGTTAGCAAGGAAAATTTCAAATGTTTTAGATGTACAGATAAAATAAATTTAACAAAATTTCGAGGGTATTAAAGGATTTAACAAACATACATCGCTGAAGAGAGGAAACATGAAAAACAAATGAGAATGTTCTTTACCTTTCGAAGAATCGTCATATCCAATATGCTTAACAGTATCCCGAACAATTTTCTGATAATCTACCACAGCTTTTGATGTGATTTCTCCACATAATAGGATCATTCCTGTTTTTGTCACAGTCTCTAAATGATTGAAAAATATAATATGTAAAAATTAAATGTAATAAATCAGCGTAATCTTAATTACTAAATTAAACTATAGACACTGTATCAAGTACTAGGTCCCTTCAGAGTTCTACGATTCAAAATTAACTCAAGGTCGCACTGACTAGCTTATAAATAGAGGTTATGACACCAGCTGATTATGAATTTATTTGAAAAATTAGAATCATTTTTGAGGAAACTCACCGCAAGCAACTTTTGCATCAGGATCTTGTTTTAAATGTGCATC